CCTCGGCCTCCCAAAGTGCTGGGATTACAGGCTTGAGCCACCGTGCCCGGCCTTGGGTGTTCTATATTTTATCAGGTAGCTCTGTCCTGGATTCAAGTCATGGACTACTATTCATGTTTTACTTTAAATTGGGATTAATAACAATAACAGAATGTGTTTATTGAGCACTTCCTGCTTACCAGGTATTATCTAAAGCATATGGTAGCATTATCTTGTTAAATCCACACAATTTGCTTATAAATTAGGTACTATTATTAGTCTCTTTAAACACATAAGGAAACTGGGGCTTAGCAATTGTGTCAGTCTAGTAGACAGTAGAGACAGAATTTAAATACGTATCAAATTCTAAAGCCGGGGCAAACCAAGATATTGATAACGATCTGATTGCAGAATCAAAGCTTTTTTAATGACTGCATTTGATGGCCTTTCTTATACTTCAATTTGTTTAACTCTTGTGAATCTTGGTTTCTTTTCAGTTTTTGTGAAGACTAATTGAGATTATGTACTGCACCTAAACCAGTTTGTGACCACTCGTAAATACATATCAAAACTTATTAATAATAATATTTATACTCATAATCAAGAAAACTGACCTAAAAACATACTTCACTTCAGAACAATACTTCCACTTTACTGCAACCACAAGTATTGAGTTTCAGGAAATAAGAATTCTGATTTATCTGGGATTATAGATTTATGTTTTTACCTGAGGTCATTAAGGACAGAGTTAAAGTTAAATAATGTATATCTTGTCAGGGAGTTGAATTTCTGGTCCCTGTGACAGAAGAAAGTAGTATCCCTCCACAGATGCCACAGTCAACGGACAAAAAGTGATATTATGGAGTATTATTGGACTCCTAAGTGACTCTGAGATCCCAAGGGCCACAGCTACTCTCCGCGGAAAAGGTGAGAGCTATGAATGACTATATGGACAAAGAGTGGCATGATGCAAGAGCCTACAGAAAGAATGAGAGGAGACAATAGGTGTGGTGTCAAAGGCAGGAGCCTTCAAGTGTCCTGCTTCATTGGTTGTTTTGAGGATTAAAAGAAAAGATGTATGTAAAATGCTTCACATGGTGCTGTTGTACACTACATGCTCAATGAATAGTATGTATTTTAATTATTATTAAGATTATAATTACCAAAATAAATTAAACATTTCTTCTGCAAAATGAACTTCTTTTTAAAACGAGAATTATGAGCTCTTCCAAGTCACATATTCTCAAGTGAGAGTGAAATAATAGGTCTATTTATGATGTAGTGTTTGTCATTCTAAAACAAAAAGAACAATAAAAACTGTTGTTCACACTTTTCTATTAGCTGCTATTAAGAACTTTGAATGGCCTAAGATTTTGCTTCACTTGCAAACTATTAAGTTAGCCTGCAGCAATTTCATGGATGCTGATAGAAGACATGAGACAAAGAACAGTTTATTACTCATGGCGATATCAGTAGCCAGAGTATCTGCAATTTTTCCATTGGTTCCTCAAGCCTCAGCTCCCACAATGTGAAAATAGGAGGGCCAAAAGTCACCTGTACATGCAGTGGATTGTGTGATAGGAGAGGAAAACTTAGCTGAGAGAGCTCAAATCTTTTTAAATGGGTGTTAAATGTACTTTCCCTTTCTCAAGAGGAGCAGAAAGCATTACCTTCATTACACTGGAAAGTGAGCACCTCTGCGCTTTACTCCAGAGGGAGATACTATATCTTCCAAAGCTGTGAGCAAAACTATACTTTGCTCTGAAAATAACACAAATTTTATTTTCTAAAAATTTTCTCTAAACAAACATCATTGAAAATATAGTCCAGAACAAAAAGCACCCAAATAAGCCACAAAACTAGGGTAATGCTCCATATTTTGCTAAGAAGAGACCCAGCAAGATTTTAGGTGGCTCTTATTATGAGATAATTTACTGCCTGTGTGCACTTGTTTAAGATAAAATAATGCTATGAAGGACGTGTTATATATTGCAGCCTTGTGTTCTCCCTGACTCTTCCTAAAACAAATGTGTGTGAAAGAAATATACTCCTTGGGAATATATAAGATAATTTTTAACAAAAGCCAACAAAGTATGTACTTGGCTTCAGTAGCCAAATTCTATTATGAGCTCTCAATAATATTCTATATTTTTTCTCTCATAGCTTTAGTCACAATTGTAATTAATTAAGCATGTGTTTTTTTTATTATTCATTTTTTATCAGTCATCCTAGATTGTAAGCTTTCTATTTCTGAGGGGTCTGGGTTTCTTTTACTAACACTATATTTGAGTCACCTAGCATAGCATCCGATATATGGTAAGTATGTCATAAATATATGCAAAAAATTTTTATGTTTACTAAATTTTACTTCACATATAAATGAAGTATGAAAGTTTGTCTTCACCAGGATTTTCAGGAACGTGATTTGAGTTTCGTAGACGACTTTCCTGAGAGGGTTAATGACCTAAGAGATTACCTAGGATGCATTTTATCTCAAAAATGAAGAAACTGAAGCCCAGAGATAGCAAAAGCATTAGCCAAACTCACTCAGCCAGTAATGAAGGACCTAGGCCAGAATTCAAGTCTTCTATCTCTTGACCTAATGCTCTTTCATCTGTCATATCTTCACCTGTCCCTTCAACCTTCTGTGACAAAATTTTAAAGCACTTATATATTTATTCACTATGAAGAAATGTTGTTAAGAGGTTATTAAGGCAAGAATGGGAAAATGAGCATGACTGCAGTTCTATGTTAACAAAACCCAACTGGCATCATGTGGGTCAGAAAGCTTGGACTCCCAAACATAAACAAATCTGGAATGCCTTTGCAGAGTTTTGAACTGTCCTGGGTGTTCTAGGAAAAGAAGGCATGGCAAAGCCTGGAAAGACTGAGAGATATCTCTACAAACCCAATTATCTGTGAATTCACCAAAGCCCAGTTCCAATGACCCAGGGAAGATTCTATTTTTTTGTCCTATCTTGTGTAAATTAGCAAATAAACTTTGTCATATACTTGTGACAAGTTAGTAGTGGATACATCATTGTTTAGGGCTGTAAATATTTTAAGGAATTTAAAGAATTTCACCTCTTCTAAGATTTTAGCAATTTGTATAGTAACTATACTAAAAAAAAAAAAAAAAAGTGACACAGTCATCTCCACAGTTAAGATCCTAGAAAGCCATTTCTGTTTCTAATATGAAACAGTGTGTGGTATTCTACTTACCTTGTAGCTCCAATGCATGTCTGTGATCAATTCTTCCTCCAGGAGCCAACTGTGACAAAGATGTTGCTTTGGAAGAAAAGTGCTCTATAAATGCAATAAATAAATAAATACATGGACTAGACAGAATAGCATAGGCTCAGGTTAAATAAAAGCAAACTTTTGGTTTCTAAATTTGAAAGGAATGTGGACTAGTCTCAGTCTTCCACCTTGGGAAGAGCTATGAAGATTTATTTTTGTGAACCTATCACAATTCTCATTCTCATGCAGCTATTGCTATAGAAATACCTGAGGTAAGATTGCTTTATGGCTTAACAAGAGCAAATACAGGTCTCTCTTGCCTTACAGGGTAAGCGGTTCCACACTCATTTCTGAGCAATGAATCTCAGTTTTCTAGTGTATTTTATGAAAGGATTTTTAGAGCTATAATGCTTCAGAGCAAAACTTTTCACCATAGGCTCAATGGAAAACTTAGAAAGGGGCCAGCCATCAATTTTCTGAGGGATACCGGATGAACACTACTCTTGTAATATGTTTCAGAGTCTAGTATTCTAGTCTATAATTTCTCGCAGTGACATTGCTTTCCTGTATTGAATATGACTTAAGTCTGCATTCTTATATTCCCAATTTAACTCATCTCCTTCTTTGGAATTAGGATTTTAATATGTAATATATTATATTTTATTACAACATTTTGCTAGCAAGTTCTATCATTAATGCGTATTTTACCCATGTCTAGCTGTTTAAGTCTGAGAGTTTGATTTGTAGAACAGTAGTACTCTCTTGGTCCTTTTTAACAAACTTTTTCTTTTTCTACAGAAAACTGTCTCACTCTTGCATGTCATAACTTTTAGAGTATTTAAAAGCCATTATAAAATCAACCTTGGCTTCTGGATTGTATCAATGTCAATTTATTGGTTTTGAGAGTGGTCTTTGGTTATATAAGATGTTACCACAGGGACACTAGGCAAATGGTGCATGGCACCTATCTGTTCTATCATTAAATCTTTGAAACTTTCTGTGACTCTCGAAGTGTTTTGAAATAAATAGTGAAAGGAAAGGTGTGGAATTAGAGGAGTAGAAGTAGTAGACAAACATCTGAGTGACAAACCTGACTGTCATCCACTGGATAAACAACCTCTGTTCTGTATGTTTGTTAAACTATAAAATGGAGAATGTATCTAGCAGTAGTAACAATTAAATGAGATTAAGTGTAATAGCGTGTTCATGGAGAGGCAATACGGCATTATAATTAAGACCCTATAAAGCTAGACTGCCTGCATTTAAATCTAGTCCATGCAATTTCTATGAGTCTTTGGCCCAGGAATTTGATTTTGCCTCAGTATCTTCACCTGAAAATTAGGATGAGATGATAATAACATCACTTATTTTGTAAGATATTTGTGATGACTAAGTGGGTTAATATATCTAAGGCACTTAGAACAGTGCCTGGTACTTAGCAATACTATATGAGTGCCGGCCATATTGTTAAGAAATCACAATAGCTTGGTACATAGCTTAATAAATGTTTGCGTTTTTTGTTTTTATTTTCTAATTCTGAGTTAAAGTACATAGGCAGTCATCAAAAGTAAGATGGGTAAAAGAATTGTTATATGGTCACATAATGTATACTGTGAAGTAATGAATGAACAATATCCACGACATGTAAAATTTTGGATGAGTCTCACAAACATAATACCAAGTGAAAGAAATCCACCCAGAAGCGGCTTGATGTATGGTTGCAATTACATAAAGTAATTAATTGGGGAAATAAAACTTCTGCTTCTGGCCATGTTGCTGTAACTGGTACTGAACCAACGCTGCCACAAAAATAATGAACACTTGCAAAAAAATATAGAAAAACTGTTTTTACATATTGGGCAACTAATAGCATAGACTTCGTTCCCTAAAAGAAGGTATGCCTTAAGTTTAGCCCATATGTCTATCTCTGGGCACTTTTCAGACCCTGGGTTAGAGAAGGAGAGTCTAAAAAGGGTTTGGCAATATCACTAAGCTAAGGATGCAGAAACTGGAGTTCAAGGAGACACAGGTAGGTGGGATGGGAGTGAATAAGAAGAGGAAGCTATGCAGAGAAAAATTTGAAGAAATGTACATAGACTTCCAGTTGAGTCATTGACTGAATTTTAATCTTTCAATACATAAGCAAGATCCCATGAGCCAAGGTGAAGAACAACTACCAAAAAAATAGCAGCTACCAGAAAGCTGTAAGTTGAACAATTACCAGAGCTCACACAGAGTTGGTAGATGTTCCAATTCTTATCACTTTGTATGAAGAGAGTTTATTAACAAACCAGAGCATTCAATAGAGGCCAGTGAAGTTTACTTTTTAGGAGTATGACTAATCCAGCCCCAGAGTAAAGGCCTGTTAAGACTAACACAAAGAAAATTTAAAAATAAACTACAAAAAATAAATTGCCTATCTTCTGAAATAAATTGGTACATTGTTTAAAAGAAAATTACAAAACCCAAACAACATAAAAAGTACAATATCAAATACCTAACCAAAAATTATTAGATACGCCAAGAGGCAAAAAGATGAAACCCAGAGCCAAAAGAAAAATAAGTCTATAAAAACAGAAACAAAAATAATAGAAATGATAATTTTTTTGTTCTTTTTTGTTGTTGTTTTGACAGTCTCTCTGTCAACAAGGCTGGAGTGGAGAGGCATTATCCTGGCTCACCGCCGCTTCCACCTCCTGGGTTCAATCTATTGTCCTGCCTCAGCCTCACAAGCAGCTGGGATTACAGATGCCCACCACTATACCCAGCTAATTTTTGCGTTTTTAGTAGAGACGGGGTCTCACCATGTTGGCCAGGGTGACCTCAAACTTCTGACCTCTAGTGATCCACCCACCTCAGCATCCCAAAGTTCTGGATTACAGACGTGAGCCACCACACCCAGCCACAGATAAAGTTTTAAAACAGCTTATATAAATATGTTCATGGATTTAAGGAAAGCATTAAAATAATGAGGGGAGAAGCTTAAAATTAGGAAAAAAAGGTAAACATTCAGAAGTGAAATTGACAATACCTAAAATGAAAAATCACTGATAGTCTTGATAGCAAATCAAACACTGGAAAATAAAAGATCAGTAAATTTGAAGAAAGGGCAATAGAAACTATCCAGCATGAGTGAACAATTTTCACGACATGTAAAATTTTGGATGATAAATTTTAATAAAGTACGTGCTTTCAGCCACATATACAAAGCTAAAAGAAACCAACAAAGCCACTGTGACCTGTGGGAAAATGTCAAGTGGTCTAAGATACATATAATTGGCATTTAGGATAGGTGAGGCAGAAAAAAATGTTTAAAGATATAATGACCAAAATGTTTCTAAATTTTATAATATATAAACCCACAGATCCAAGAGATTCTACAAACAGTAAGAAGGATAAAACCCAAAAGCAAAAAAACAAAAAAAATCACACACACATATGTACACATACACATCAGGGCACAGAATAATCAAATTTCTTGATGTCAGCTGTAAGACAAAAATTGTAAACTTGATGGAAAAAACCTCACAAGACCTACAGAGAAAGGAAGGTAAGAATCAATACTAACTTCACATCAGAAGTAATGAAAGCCCATAGGCAATGGAACAATATTTTAAGGTGCTGTAAGACATTAAAAATAAAACGAATTAAGTTAGGATTCATAACCAGAAAAAAATTATCTTCTACAAATAGGGGAAAAATAAATACAATGATAGACAGTTCCAAGCTGAAAGGATTAATCACCAGCACACTTATACTGAAAAAAAAAAAAAATTAAAGAAAATGTTTAAGCTGAAGGAGAGTGACACAAACTGAAAATATAAATCTGTACAATGGAATAAAGAGAGGTAGAAGGGTAAATATAGAATAAATTCCAAAGACATTATTTTTTATATTTGTATATTACATTAAAATTTCTTATTTTTAAAGCAAAATAAGTAATATATATTTGAGGGTTTAAAACATACATATACATAAAAGTTTCAACAATAATAGCACAAAGGACAGAAAAAAATAAAAGTATACTAGTGTAAGATTTTAATATTACGATGAATGAAATAATATTATTTAAATGTAAACTACGATAAAGTGAAAGACGCAGATTATAAACCTTAAATCAGACAAAAAATAATTCATCAAATATGTAAAGCTAATCAAAACACACAAACACATGCACACACACACACACACAGAGGCAAAGAAAATCAGTGCTTTTCAAAGCTAAAATAGTGACTTTGCAGGAGTGGTGACTAGAAGAGGAGACAAGGGGAAATTTAAGGTAATGTTCTGGTTATGGTCTACTTATTTGCATTAAATTAGACCTGAGCAAAATTGCATGGCTATATCTGGTTACTGTGGAAACTACTATTTTATTCGAATTACTTTTCAAAAACTTTTAGTAGCCCTTTATGTATCAAAGAACAACAAGCCAAGAAATGTTAATCCAAACTTTATCTTTTTTTTTGAGAACGAGTTTTGCTCTTGTTGCCCAGGCTGGAGTGCGGTGGCATGATCTCAGCTCACTGCAACCACCACCTCCTGGATTCAAGTGATTCTTCTGACTCAGCCTTGCAAGTAGCTGGGATTACAGGCACCAGTCACCTTGCCTGGCTGATTTTTGTATTTTTAATAGAGACAGGGTTTCACTCGAACTCCTGACCTCAAGTAATCAACCCACCTCGGATTCCCAAAGTACTGGGATTACAAGTGTTAGCCACTGTGCCCAATCAAACTTATTTATAAGGAGCTTCTGACAACTGAGTTTTTATATAAAAGCTCTTCAAGAAAACACTCATGTAATATTTTTTCTGTTAAATGTATGATTTTACTACTTTATGTTTTGTAAATTTGCTTGCTTTTACCCTGTTTTCATGACCAATTACATATTTTATGATATAGGATTTCAAGTATAGAATTTTAGTTTATAATTTATAACACTATTCTAAACCAATTATCTCATAATTGCATACATTGCCACGGTTGCCCCAAAACTAATGAGGTCATAAGTAAAACCTTATCTATGAAACGGATAATATGTGCCTGTCAAGATCCTGTTCAAACATCACCTCCTCTCTGAAGCCTTGCTGGATTCCAGTTAGGCAGAATTAATTACTATTTCTTGAAGCATCAACATATTGTGCACCTTCTATTAAAATACATGCCCTAGTGAATAGAGCTGATTTGTTTATTTCTCTGTCTCCCTCATGAGACTGCTTTAGCCATCTTTGTATGTTCAGCACACAGTATAAAGTCTAACACATGAAAAGTGCTCAAAAATTGTTTGAAAATGAGGAAGAGAGAATGGGGAGCCAGGCTGGGGGAGGTAAATGGGATGGAAAATAAAGAAATATCTTAACACTAGTAAATGAAGGGGAAGATATTCTTGGTTGGATGAAACAGTTGTTTGTCCAGCAAGCTTAAATTTGCATCCATTGTCACAAAATAATGAGAATCTCTCTAGGTCATTTCACAGCATTGACTGCAAATACCTTGAAAGTATTTATCCAGTGTTAGACTGGTGCTTCATGTCCTGCTATGCCATATGAATTGTTTCCCTTATGCTCTGAGGACAGCAAAATATTTTACAAATATTATCTTGCCAAATGAGTATGTGTAAAAATTGTCCTCAGGGCTTCCAGTGATGAAAGAGTTTGCACACCAACAAAATAAACATGCTTCCCCAACCCCCAGGCAACACTATTCACTCCCTTCTCTGATTCTCAGAGCACATTATTCATTTCTCTAATACAGCATTCAGTGCAGCATGTCAGAGTCTGTTCTGCTTCCCCTGCCCAATTGTATTGTAAGCCTCTTGAGGACAGAGACTGTGTCTTTATCTTTTTATCTCCACTTCCTAACACAGAAACTGGCACATGGTAGGTGTTCCATACTCATTTCTTGAGTGATTAAATGAATAAGAAAATATCTTGTAGTACTTTTATTTGAATAGATCCTAAAAGTCCTGTCAATCTAGCTGTCTGGAGTCCAACTCTAAAAGCATCTCCAAAATAAGGAGCCAACAAAAGGTCTTTGTTAAGAGTTAGCTCCTGATCCTGCAGTGGCAACATGACAACCAGAAAAGGGCCTTAAATCATTCTCAGTATCCCAGGAACAATCTGATCACCCTGTGGGAGGCAGGCAGCCCTTTGACCTCTAGAAATATTTAGTAGTCATTGTATTTTTCAGGTGAAACTTGATAAGCTCAGAGACGTTTGGAGAACCAGTAAAAAAGCAAAGAGGAGAATAAACAAAAGGATAGAAGTGGAAAGACAAATTGTTTTCTAATTAAGCACAGCATATGCCAGGTACTATGCAAGGTGCTCAGGATTCAGTGTTGAAATAAGATGTGCTTCATGGCCTGGCTCACATTTTTTTGGGGTATGTGGGATCCTACAGTGCCTCCTGCTACAATCTCAAAATGTTCCCCAGAACAGAAAAAAATATGATTATTGAGACTACAGCAATTTGGTGTTCATTAAGCTTTAATGTAATAAAATGTACTTTTGACTTACCAATAGAACAAACAAGTCACTAAAACAAAATGTCATAGTCATGGTTTCACTCCCAAACTGCTCTTCAAGATTGAAATCAGGCTCAGCAGCTTCAGAGACAAAACTGCTCTACCCTACCCATTCGATCACAAAACAGACAGAAGAGCCTTGGCAGCCAGCAGAACAAGTCCTGCATTGGGGTTTTTGACAATGAGATCAATATGTGATCAAAGCAGAGTTATAACAGTGCAATTACTAGGCAGTTAATAGACATATAGACCTATTTTCATGAACCCATAATGAGACCAGAGTATCAAGGAAATGACTTTCATGCACAGGGCCAAGTTGGTGGGAGGAGTGTTTAGGAAGCTCTACAACAATTCTGAAAACATTTTTAATATGCCAATTAAGCAGAACATTTACCAACCTAATTATAGCCTCTAGATTATTTTTGAAACCCTGAATATTGAAACTTATTTGAATGTGACTTTTTGTGAGATTTTCAAAGGAAATTTTCCAGTAATTCAAACACTCCGCAATGTTTTAAGTTTTCTAGATTTTTATTGGGAATAAGTATAAAATGAGGCCCAAAGAAATTCCTTTTCAGAAATGAAACTTTACATTAAAACTCCAATTAATTTTCATTTGGGATATTCATTCCTGCAGCAAATATGGATGTATTGTAATGTTGAATCTTTTCAGTGTGGGATACTGATGACTCTGACAGGTCCCTCCCTTCAGAAATCTCCAGTTGAGTAAGGTCATAAGATGCGTACTCAAACAAGTAAAATAAGAGGTAGACTATTTCTACAAATTTTAAGAGAGATCCAGAGAAAATGCCATGGGACATCAGAGGATTAAAAACAATGTATCCAGGTAAAGACCACAAAATGAATCACAATTATTGGGGGAAAATAAACACTCTGTTTAATAACTATGACACAGGAAAAGCTTATTAGTAAGAATAATGCCAGCTGGGCATGGTGATTCACACCTGTAATCCGAGCACTTTGGGGTGCCAAGGCGGGCAGATCACTTGAGGTCAGGAGTTAGAGACCAGCCTGGTCAACATGGTGAAACTCTGTCTCTACTAAAAATACAAAGAATATCCAGGCATCGTGATGTGTGTCTGTAACCCCAGCTACTCAGGAGGCTGATGCAGGAGAATCGCTTGAACCCAGGTGGCAGATGTTGCAGTGAGCTGAGATCACAGCACTGCACTCAAGTCTGGGCAACAGAAAGAGACTCTGTCTCAAAAAAACAAAAAGTAATAAAATAATGCCTATATTCCAGATGTGTTATATGTATAAAGGAGTGCATATGTAAGCCGGGTGGGGTGGCTCATGTCTGTCATCCCAGCACTTTGGGAGGCCAACGCAGGTGGATCACCTGAGGTCAGGAGTTAGAGACCAGCCCGGCCAA